TCTATAGGGTGTCATTGTCGATCCAGAACATCATATCAAACGGTTAGATTAAATAGAATTTCAAAATGAATGAGACGCCATCTTTAAATCAAAGCAGATCGGAAGAACATGCGTATAGAACACGCAAATAGTCAAAACTAGGCTAATTTTTACAAAAATTCCGATGATGAGGGACCGGACAAAAGAAAACAGCGAAATGAGACCGTTCAGCCGGCTAACGTGCAAATGACCTGACTGCCTGCGAGGTTACGGAGAAAGGTGAACTTCGCAAACAGTCACACAACTACTTTGCACTAATATGCACCCCAAGGCTGTTCACTTGATACTCTAATGACACATTTTGTGACCGCAAACGACCCGCCTGGTCAGTAATGGTAACAGGCGGTTTGAAAAGCTCTCTGCTAACTAGGAACGAACAGAAGTCACCTAGTCGGCGTTGCATGAGAAAACTAGCCTTGGTCTTCTTCTCTACGATCCGAAAACCCAACTGAACTCTTCTATTTTAACGCATTAGAAACGTATCATCAGTCTTAAAATACACTTCTTCAGGCGTTGACTCCCCATCGATCTCTCATTCATGATATTGGTGCCGTGCGCACAGCCCAAGAGTGGCGCAGGAACCGTTGTCAAATAATAGTGAACTTTGAAGCATTGGGATGAACAAATCTACGTCACGCTTCTCTTACAGGCTAGCCCCGAAAAAAAGCAATCCAATAATTCGGGATGGAAATACGATTATATTTCGTCCACAGGTACATGTGCCAAAATCGCGGCACGTTCCTATGCGTCCGTATCTCTGACTGCATCCTTTGCGTCCATCGTTCCAACCACCGGTTGGGGTATGACCTTGTGCGAATGACCTTGCTTCGTATTGGCTGCAGTAACGACCTATCTTAGTAATCTGCAGGTCCCTAGAATGACTGGCAGTTGATATGGTACCTGATCTTGTATCTCGCCCGTGACGGATAAGCAACTAATATTAGACTACAGTTCATAACGTTGATCTTAACCGTGAGAAGGCAGTCCTCTCCTACCAAAAGGCTGTTGAACGTCTTTAATAGGAGAAAACTGCTGGATAATAATCGTAGGTACGCTAAGTGTTTGGTAAGGCATGAGCAAGATGTATGATTTAAATCAAAATATGAGAATAACTTCACTTTGATGCGGTAGATTTTAAAAGAATCAGAAGCTACCTCCAGTCATCACCCCTGAAAATTTTGCATAACGAGCATACTGATGCTGTCAAGGCCTCAGTTTCAAAATAGAAGGAAGACCTGACTGTTCCACATCTTCAAACTGTTCCACGTTAATCAAGCAAAGCATGCTAAATTGGTACAGTACTGTTTCGGGGTAGACCCCAGTGGGGGACCAACTGCGCCAGACGTGTTTTGGCGCATGTTTTTTGTCCCAGTTAATGGTCAGAGATACGATTGACTGAATGAAGGCAAAATAAGCCCGAAACAGTACTGTACCAATCTACCCGTATTCTCTGTCCTCCCTCCTCGCTGCCATTATGATTTGGCCGACTTCGGCCTGGTAGTTAGTTGCCTGATCGTGACCTTTGCCACTCATACGGAGCTTGTTTGCTTCGGGAAACCAACAGATCAGTGTGCGTCCATTCCTGATTAAATATATATATATATACATGTAGCGAGGAGGGACGACAGAGAATGCGGGTAGATTGATACAGCACTGTTTCGGGCTTATTCTGCCTTCATTCAGCCAATCATAACCCTGACCACCAGCAGCTGAGACCAGAAACACAAACATGCGCACAGACGCACCTGGCGCAGTCGGTCCACCACTGAGGCCTACCAGATGGGTCATAAGCACTTCATCGAAGCGAAGTTCATCAGTGCCTCGCCACCTGTCATTCTCCTCCTCGCTGCTATTATGACTTGGCCGACTTCGGTCTGGTAATTGGTTGCCTGTTCGTGACCTTTGCCACACATACGGAGCTTGTTTGCTTTGTGAAGCCAATAGATCGGTGTGCGCCCATTCCTGATTAATATATATATGTGTGCATGGCGTTCACCGGGCGGGGTTTATTGGAGGTCCAACGTTTCGAGTCGTTGATTCGTCTACCCATCTTCAGAGACTGAGAAGTCCTACACACAGCTTTCCTTATATGGCGCATTTTGTTTGATGCCTGGCCCGCCAATACCGCCTGTGTGGCTGCATCCGACCCGCATGTCACCGTGACCTGAATCGCCCCCGTCGGCCGCGGAGATGACTGACGGCCCCGATTGTCCCGCGCCGTGACTGTTCCCTGTTAATAAGGTTCGTAAAGTCAGATAGGGGGTAGGCAAATTGATGTGGCAGTTGACAGAGCAGTCGGTGGACGCCCAGCCATTTTGTACTTGTCTTGCTGTATGATAGCCGCCCGGCCCACAATCTCAACGGCGTCAAGGTTGAAGATGTGTCCCATTTGCGCGGCATGGGTTGCTACCTCCGACTTTGGGTCCAACCTTCTCACGGACAACTTATGCTCGTGCATTCGCGTTTGCAGCCGTCGGCCAGTTTCCCCAACCTAGTTGCACTTTCCGCAGCTGCATTGAGGTCGGTAGACAATGGCCGACATCTCCTGCTTAGGGATCGGATCTTTTAGACGCATCACTTGCCGGCGGATTGTTGAGCCAGGCCTGTGGGCAACACCTATTCCGAGTGGCGCGAGGGATCTAGCCACGGCTTCGGAGACCCCTTTAATGTACGGAATGCTCCGCCACGAGTTTGACTGACTATGCTCTTCATTCCGTTTCCTTCGCTGCCCTCGGCTCCGTTCAATAAATGCCCGCGGGTAGCCGTTGGCTCTGAAGAGTTCTTGGAGGAGCTTTATCTCGTCCATTTTGGCGGCTGGCGTGCTGCAATTAGTTTCCACCCGTCGGTGTGGCGTGCGGACACAGCTTCGTTTATGTTGTAGCGGGTGGTTGCTGTTGTAGCTGAGCATTTGCAGCGTGTTCGTCGGTTTTCTGTAGACCGACGTCGGTAGTTTGCCGTTTGATTGGCGGCAGACGAGAACATCTAGGAATGGAAGTTTGTTCCCTACTTCCTCTTCCATCGTGAACTGTAGATCGGGAATGACTGAATTCAGTGGTTCTGCATAGTAGCTGATTTTATCCCGGTCGATGATTACAAAGGTGTCATCAAAGAAGTGCGCCCAAAACTAGGGTTTGTACTCCTCGAATAGTCGTCTCTCGAGTTTTTGTAGAACCGCCTCGGCAATGAGCCCGGAGATTGGTGAACCCATTGCAGTGCCCTTAATCTGCTCGTATGTGGTCCCTTCGAAGGTAAAGAATGTTTTGAGGCAGTGCTCCATGAAATCTATGAGATCCTGAGCTGTAGGCTAGCCATCGCTCCCATCGTAATTTTGACGTAGCAGGTCACTGAGCGTTTCGACCGCAAGAGTCTGTGATATGGACGTGAAGAGTGAGACGACGTCAAAAGACACCATCCTCTCATCCGGTTCAATCGTAACTACACTTATTTTGTCAAGGAATTGTTCCGCTGAGTGCACCGTTGTTTGTGAGCCTGAAGTTAGGAATCTTAGCTTCTGAAATAGCCAGCCTATAAGCCCGTATGTGGGTGTGCCTCGGAGTGAGACGATTGGACGGAGGGGAACATATGGCTTGTGTACTTTTGGGAGTCCGTAGAATCTCGTCATAGCGGTTTCTGTGGGCTTTGCCATATACCAGTCTTTGTCGATGATGACCCTGTCCTTCTTTAGACGAGCCAGAATTCTGTTAACATTTTCCACTAGGGACTTTAGACTGGCGGCGCCGCTGACTTTGTACGACTCCCGATCGTTGAGGAACATGAGGGCTTTGTGTCGGTAGTGTACCTTGTCAAGAATAACGGTTGACCGGCCTTTGTCAGCAGGCAGAATGACTATTTCGGTGTCCGTCTTCAGCTCCCTCAGGGCCTTTCGTTCATCTCTTAGCAAGCAATTGGTTTTCCGGTGCGACATGAGAAGGAGATTTGATGTCGAAGGAGGTCCTTTGCCTCGTCTGTGACGTCGGTTTGACGAAGCACCGATTCGAAAGAAACAATGAAGATGACCGGGTTGGCGTCAGTTGTGTTAAAACCAGATCCACGTTGTAGAACTTTTGGTTTGGTCACAGTAATTTGTTTTGACGAGATTTTCTGTGCTTACGTTTGTTCAGTTTCCTGGGCTTGTACGGTCTGCAGTGCCATGAACTTTACCGATAAATCTGTATCTCTGTTAGCACTTTTCTTTCGTCTTAACGCTAGTAATGTGTTCTCCAACATGGTGGCAGTCGAGTCACCACAGCGGTGTGTAATCAGCATCCTGAAGTTTTCAGCACTGTTTGCGTATTTCTTTAGCCGCAGGTGACAATCTTGTATGAGTAGTCTTATTATTCGCCGGCTATGGCGGAACATCGTTTGTTTAGCCAATTCCGTGTTGACTGGAGACTTGTAGGAGAGGCACTTTGGCATAACATAGTTGGCAAGGCATCTGCGAAAGAAATGGAACTGTGCATAAGTCGAGGCCTGTCGCGGGAAGGTTTTTTTCCAACGAAGAGACAGTTGAAGCGCTTCGCGCCCGTAATTCATATCAATAGTGGTGAAAAGGCGATTCCCAGATATGCCATCTGGGAATCGCATTTTCACTACTATATATATACATTCTGCCGCCAAGATAACTGATTCTTAAAGAGCATATACACTCCACGTGCTTCGTCGCTGACGTAAAACTTGGTCGAAAAGCGTAATATCTGTATAATCTAACTTACGGTCATTATTTTCATTGTTAGTTGGAAAACAAAGGTTTCCTAAAGGCTGATTCTTCTTGTTCATTTTAGATGGGGTTATTGACCTCCTAGTAGTCTCTGTGTTTTTCTGTCACAAGAACTTGCAATTAAAAAGAAGACGCGATCTGAATTTTTGCTTTTGTACAGATCCACACTTTGAAACAAAACGACATAATATTCGGTGGCAGACGATACAGAAATGCAAGTAACGGCGTGTCCTACGAATGATTTTTACATAGGGCCTTCGTTCATCAAGTTTATGAACTCCTCGAAGTTCATTTCCCCATCTAGATCTTGATCGTGCCGTTTTACCCACTCTTGCAGTTCACTCAGCTTGCAGTCGAAGTTCATGTCCTTTAGCAGGATCATTAACTCTGAGCAGGATATCTTGCCGGACTTGTCTTTGTCAACATCATCAAAGACGCTCTTCCAGAAGGCTAACCTGAAAGATTATGGAAAGGACGTTTTTCAGAAGGTGGCAAGATTAATTAGGCCAAATAAGACCGACAGAGCACCGGATACTAATGAAAAACTAGTAATTCTTACAGAAGACAATGTCAGATTGACGATGGATGAGAAAAGTGTGGTGTCCAAAAGTGTTGCGGACGAACGGAGGTCGGAAGAACCCGTTCTGGCTTTTTGAAATAGATGGTTAGCCAGGTGAGAAGAATTTACTGACCTTAATAGTTCTCGCTTCAACCCCTACTTACCGCATAATTGGAAGATTTTATCATTGGGCAGGAGATTATGCCTACCCAAGTGTTTGAACGCAATTTGGTCAGTAACCAGGAAACCTACTGGCTATTTACTTCGCAACTAGCATGCATAAAATACAGTCCTTCAAAAATCGTTTATACGAATCGTAATCTGCGTCTACATGCAAAGTAATTAAGGCGCAAATGTCCAATAATTCGAGCAGACCCACATAAACTGCGGCAAGGTTAATTTACAAAACGAAGGGAAATGTGTACTCTTCAAAAATGGCAGGACAAAAACTTAAGATAAATAGAGAAAGAAGAAAGAAGAGAAAGACATGCGAGTAAAAGGAAATTAGATAAAAAATTATAGTCTCAGTTTTTTTGAAGTGAAACTCCATTTTGTGAAGATCATTAAAGATATAATAAATAACATTTTCTTACTGTTTTTCCCTTCTCGGAACTGTACATACTACGCGAAGATATTCGTCCTCTGTAATGTTTCCATCTCCATCTGCGTCGAAGGTACTAAGGAACTTCTGTAAGAATAAAAGATGAGGCCTTTTTCAGTGTCTTCCATTTCGTTATTTGGATAATAACCACCGGTTGTGGACTTGTGGTTTCCTGATCTTGAAATAGATATATAGCGTCAGCTCATATAACTTTGAATGGATATCCGGAACCTTTGATATTATTCAACCTTTTCCGATAAGATGTGATTATGTAGCCCCAACGGATGGGCACAGTACTGCTGGGGTTGGGGTTAGGAGTGAGGGTTAGGGGATTGGTTAGGTTTAGGGGTTAGCGTTAGGGGTTATGACCAAGGTTAGGGTTAGGGAAACTATCTCTCAACCATTCAAAGTACAACCGTGCCTTCCCAATAGCTATTCTTTTGTATACAACCACTTGACCTCGACGCCTGTGCGTTCCCCAGCCTCACCTGTAAAAACTCCTATTATCACTGGTCCCGTATTACAGGTGGCTGGGGTTTGTTTACTCCAGGCGGGGCTGCATAACCCCATCTGACTCTTTTTCCGTCCGAGCAGTGGTCATGATCATTTCCTGGCATTTACAGTATAGCGAAGATACACCAGCATATCCGAACCTCCCAGTTTTTTCATGGAAAAAATTAGATAAAAAATAAATAATTAGAAGACTTTCTGATTGCATCATCCACCGATCAGCGTGCATCTTCTGAGTGCATACTTTTAAAGGACAGAATATTGCTAGCTTTAAGTGAAAAAACATATTTTCAGGTTTGTGTCTGCAGTGGGAAAAAATAGAAGCGGTGCTATCGTTACGGTTTATAAATGTTTTCCAAGCTCAATTCCACTTCAATTCAGCCAGCATGTTTTAGCAGCACTTCAAATTTTATTCTAGAAAAGAAAAACCTCGACTCGCCAATTCTTGTGAGGCCTAAAACCAATGACCTGAGTTCCGAATACTCAGTGGCTTGGCCAAGAACGCAAAACAAGTTCGGACACTCAGAACAATGAACAAAATGTTCCGGTGTTCGACCATCCTTCTTTTTCGGTTAATCAGTGTATTGCAGATGAACAACTAGCAGTAAACTATACTTATACTAAACTTATGCTATTGTACTTTGTTATATAAGACACCTAGGAGTTTAAGACAGGGAAAGGCTTTATTAGATTCCAGCAGTGAATTTTTCGCATTGTGCATAACCGCTAACTCCGGTGTCGCCTACTAATTGTTCTGATTACTTTTGCTAGCAATCTATCCACAAAGACCTTCCTTCAAATCATACACATTGCATCATGTACTTTAAACACATTTTTCCGGGTGACCTTCAGCGTTGTGAAGGAATCCCAAAAAAAGTGCTTTTTACGAGCCTCAGAGTTTCATATGAATGGAGCGCATGCGCGACAGATGAGACGCGCTGTATGAAAGAAAATATCAATAATGCTTCTGGGTACCGCACAGTGGCCATGCATTCGTGGCGGCAATTTGTGCTGGTATTCAAAAACATATCGCCGTTAACATAAATGTCACGGAAGTTTGCAGTCCACCTCAGTGGCAGTTTTAATTTACACATATAAGTGGTTGTACATTTGAACCCTGGGGCTCTTATAGGGTCTTCACTGTTCGGTCGACCTCGTAATTATCTTTTGATCAATAGAGCCCAAGGAAACAGATTTTTGCCTTTGTAGAGTTATCCCTGTTTTTCTAAAAAAAGATGAATCAACTTTATTTCGTTGACCACCGAGAGCAAGATCCTTTCCAGGTCCACGCTTAAAGGGAAATATCAGTGAAATACTTAAAAGCCCTTAGCGGCCCATTTCCATATATGTAGCAAAAACTTGCTAAAAATTCCTTTAAGTATCTTAAAATGTTCATTTTTTGAAGCTCAGAGCAAACAGCACATTTCTGCCAATATCTCCCTGTTATCACTTTGCGAACTTTCGGTCATGATCTGCAAACTTTGCGCAGTTTAAAGGATACGAATCAAAATGTGTGTAGAAGGCTCCAACCCCTCAGCAACAAACGTTTAAGCTTCTCCACTTCTGCATGACAGCATTTAATTATGCCAGTATTACCCTGAAATGCATTCTTCTATCTGTGTCATCTCGGGATGAGACATCAGACAGTGGCTTCGCTGTTAAGGCTTTCGTCACTGATGCATACCCTTGAAGTCACCAGAATAACCGTTCGCCGTTAGCGTATCTCCATCCGTTCAAAAGATTTCTGAATCGCCACCCCCTCGTGTTTGCTGATAATGGGTGATCCACAATTGCTCGATTAATGCATCGATCAAACTAAAGAAATAACGTTAAACGAAAGAAACCGGACGGGGCACACGAGGCATCCTGTCTAGTTGAAACGTTGTCAGACGTTTGGCTGGACCGGAAAGCACTGTGTGTCATCGCACAATTAGAACAGATCGTCAATCAGTCATCTTATATTACAGGCAAAGCAAATTTTCCAAGGACTAAATATAGCAGTAGTGCGTTTACGAAGGGCAGTTGGTTGATATTGTAGTCGACTACAACACAGTGTTTCTCGGAAGTCTGTGTATAAGAGATAATTTTGAACAAACGAAGGTAAGGTCGAAAAAACATTTAGGCCAGTTTAATGTTGACATAATACACATGCATTTCGGCTGTATATTAAGGGTACATTCTGACGCATCTGCAACTCACTTTCGACAGATTTTCTTCACTGAAAGTTCTGATGTTTCAGACTATTTACAGAGCCTTTCAGGGCGGCAGGTTTGAACTTAAGCAGACATACTGCACTGCAAAAAAGTATTCCTTCCAAAAAGTGAGGTTTAAAAAGAGATGGAAAACGGATATTTGGCTTGAAATAAAACCTCCTAGGATCTGCAAGTAAACCCGCGTACCTTTACGAACTTTTTATCAAATCCTGAAGCAAGGAGGCAACTTTTCACTTCCGCTTTGCTCAGTATGCCATTCTTGTCGATATCCATTTCCCGAAACTTTCGCAAAAACTGTTTTCTTTCGCTGTCCATAGCAGCTAGGCCTGGTGTAGGATTTAATGGGTAGTGAACGGGTAGAACTATACAGCAAGGCGCTGGTCAGAGGATACACACTCTGCCACTTCATCAAAGATGGTTAATGTGGCCGACCGACCATGTCATCACACCTTCATTGGCCCATTGGCCAAACACGTAAACCGACAAAATACTCCGCCAATCAGATCAAAGCAGTAATCAAGCCAGCACGGGAAAGGGAGAAATTGTAAATGGGTCCAAAAGCCGCTAATACCCTCGGATTCCGTTGCCTGGGCTCACCAGGATGATCTTCGTTCTTGATCGATGATCAAGGCATGAGGCACGTAGCAGTCCAACAAGATGTCTGCAGATTGATGATCAATT